GCGACTAAAGGTCCTCCGCCCCGACGGCCACCTGGCGCCCACGTGGACGGGCCTTTAGTCGCGGTTCTTAAGCAACCGCGACTAAAGGGGGGGGCCTTTAGTCGCGCCCGGTCGGTCGCGGTTGCGCAACCGCGACTAATGGCAGTTGCGAACCGCGACCAAAGGCCTTTTTTCCACCAGTGATACAATATGACTAAGCACGATGACTCCGCACGCAGGACATACTCTCCATACAATAAAGCCATGATCTACAGGCAAGAGTTACAACTCAACATATAACCTTATTTGTCATGGTGCTCATGAATTTGAAGGGACAATCTGTGGGAAAACTACGAGAGTTCACCCCAAAAAAGAACAAAACCGAAGTTTCATGTGGAATTTAGGACACTAACTATTGGTCCACTGCACTGCTGGCCTCAATACTAATCGATCCATGCCGAGAACAAGCTCCGCACCCTCTCAGAGGAACGCACGACCCATAGTTTGAGGTAATCTCTGGCAACCTGCTTCAACTGCACTTTCTTTATTTGTTGATCCTGCTGCTTCTGACGAAACATGTTATGAATATCTCGTCTTGTGGATTTAAGGGCTATGCATGGCCCAGCGAGCCTTGTGTTCTCCACATATAGGTGTGCACTGCCGTGGTTAGATGTCCAACATATCTGGTAATTTGTAACTTCAGTGTTATGATAGAGATAATCTATCGCCTTCGGGAGAAGCATTTCATCGAGTTGGTCCGGGTGAACATTTACATGGGTGAGGTGTTGCTTCTCTCCATCGATCGCCTCTATCGCGGAGCCCTCGCTTGTGGACTCGGGATTCTCCAGTGAGTGATGAGGCATGAATAAAATCCCCAGCTTCAAAGGTGGGAAGTTCTCTACAGAAGTAGATGTGTCCGCATTGCCACTTGTTGTGGTTGATCTCATCATAAGATTATTGTACTCTGATACTGAGATTTGACGTTGCAAATACACTTGACAGACTGGCTCTGGAAACATGGTCGAAAGTCTCAATTTATTTCCGCCACCACAAAAAGGCACATCCTGATGCAACTTGTTTCCTTGACAGCATAATGGATCTGGGCGGAACCATCTAGTCAAAGTTGTCTGGATGTGGTCCCAATGTTCTAGGTGTGAATTCACAATTACTTGCGGTTGCGGCACACAGAAGAAATCTTGCGTGGGGAGCTGCGTGATCTCGTTGATGACAATTTCTGCAGTAGACTTGAAGTGAGGCGTCACCCGTCGCAAGCACTTGATTGTAGTTCCGATTATGTCTGTACTCTCTGAAACACGCAACATGAACCCAAGGCGGAAATTGTTCTTGGGCGCCTTGCAATCTTGATATACGAAGGTTACCATGGCCTCTAACCCTCTGTCCTCGAAGCTCATTGAGCGTATACCGAATATATGTAACTGGCCTCCTGGGTCCAACACATGATACAACAACGATTTCCCTGCAAAGATATGCCCAATGAGAGGGTCAAAGAATAGGTGTTGTCGTGGTGACCCAAGCTGCACATATCTCATAAATTCACCAGCACCATCCGCGAGCCTCTCGAATCTTTGAACGGTGGCACTGCCCATAGAGCAACCATCATTGTTGCGGCCAACACGAGAGGAAATGAATGCCTTGGTCGCATGAGCGAAACGTCTAGGAAATGAGGATTTCCTTACGACCTGCTCCGCCTCGTCTTCTTCACGAGAAAGTTGTCTACATCTGCGTACTGCGTCGTTGCAGTCCTGGGAAGCGTATTTCAGCTTCTTTCGCCAATCGAGCAGTGACGTGTCAGTGATCTGCCACTTGTTGGACGTCTGGAGCGCGGCCTCCATTTTGATGCGCGCCATCTCCAGCCTTTCTAGGCCACCACATCTTGTTGCTTCTAAATCTGGTTTCTCCTCGGTTTTGCTGGCGGCTGCAATACTAGAAAAGATCCAGCTTACTCCTTCCCCGACAATGGCAGACTTGACCATCTCATCCATGGATTCTGACGTGTGAGTAGCGAAGAATTAGTAAGAGAGACCACTCTCTACTAAAGAAATGGACTAGCCTTGATGCTCACCGCTCACTTATGTTGCTTTTATCACTACAGGTTGCTTGGTTGGTTGCGTGGAATCAAGTGAGCGACTGAGATATCTAAGCTTGCAGGTGCTTTTCTCTTGAAACAGAGACAAGAAATTTGTCTCATTCCATCCATTAACAAAGGGCGAGTTGGTTGGCCAGTGTTAAAGAAGAACGGAAAATTGCTGAAAAGGAAGCAACGGTAAACTTGGCCAGCCATTTGTTGAAGGAAATTTGCTGTCTACAGCCTAGAGAAACAAAAACAACCAGTCACGCGGAGGATTTAAATATCGACAGAGTCCACACTTCAAATCCTAGAGAACAAGCGGGCACGCCTCATAGAGCCTGCCGGCCGGTGCTTGACTTGCTATATGGCACACCTCATGTATGACAGACATGAGAGTATGGGACACCGCATGCATGACATCCCAGTGAAAAGAAAACTGATTATGTTCCAATGAGTTTGCAACCTTATTTTTTAATAATTGTGCAGCTCAGATGTTCAAATAAACCAAGGTCCATCACACACCAAACTCTACTGTTAAGCCTCGTGAAAAACATTATTTGTGCCGTCACGTACAACAGCTTTTTCATTGGATTTTGGAAGTTATCCACTTAGGAAGCTTCACAAGACAAAGAATGACTAGCATCGACTAGCATTTTTGGGGTGTTACCAATGCACTGGGTAGCACCGATGTAATCTGTTCTCTTTTCTTTCTTTCCTTAGCATGTACCGTTCTCTGTTTCGCTCTTAGTTTCGTCCGTCCTCTCTCCTGCCCCGCCCGATCTCTAAGAAAACCAGACGCTCCACCCCAACCAGCTGGTTTTGCACCGCAAACAAGTCTCCAGAAAAACCATGGTCACCCAGTGCACGATCACCCCAACGCACGACCCCAATGTGACCCCACCCAGCAGTCTACCCCTATCACCATGCAAGATCAAGGTTTTCAATACCGAACGAGCATTTTTTTTTTCTCGTGGGGCACTGAAATACTCGGTTAGCAAGGTAATCGGCCGGAAAATTCTGACAAAAAAAAGAATTCAACTATTTTTCATTTATTTAACCACAATTTATCGCAAACCATCGGCTGGCCTATTGGAACGATCCCTAATGTGAAACAGACGCATAAACCACTGCGCCAGGACATGTTAGCTTGTTGAACGAGACATAGAAGGCTGACTCTCTACCGAGCGTTTGAGTTCAAAAAAAAATAGTATTTCTGCTCAGTACATGTATTTCTTGTGGGGGACTGAGAAACACGGTTACCGGGCAGTAAACGAATTTACCGCCTGCTAACCAAAACCCCATGCAAGATCCAACCTTTGCAAGTCGCCCCCATCGCCAACGTGCATGATCCTCCCGCCACATGCCGCCTTAATCGCCTCCCTTCAGCGCCGCCTTATAGGATCCCCCGCACCCACACCATTTGCTCAGGAGAGGACTCCTCAATCAGTGGAGCATGCGTCGGCTCAAAGGAGCAAACGCGCTTCGCCACCTCCGAACAATCAGGAGAATACCGACTTCATGCCACACCACCTCCCAGGAATCAGGAGTAATGTGCATTGCCTGGACGTCGCCGCCGCCACCATTCTACTCCTCACGCGGACGCCATCGGCTGGGCGGCATTGCGCCACCTCACCTACTTCTATCGCCCAACACATCACACATGGATTACATCGCCTGAGAAAGAAATGATCTCCCACACCATAATTTCGGATCCAGCCGTGGACTTGGAGACCCTTGGATGCTTATTCAGCCCTTCAATCATGACGCGGGATGAAGACCGCACACCTCATGGATGAAGGAGATCAAACTTGCTGGGAGCAAGGATGGACGCGGTCCGAGCCGGTCCCTGACTTAGTTGCCACTAGGACAGGCCGCTAGCGAGCCAGGCTGGACCGAATCGACCAACTGAACGGTTTGATTTCCATGAACCGGATCGACAAGGCGATGGTTCGGGCTGATCTGAGCGGACCGACTGTGGTCACGGGCGATCGAGGAGCACCAAGTCAGGCACCTAGGGCGGTGACTGCTTCCCCTTCTAGTGCCTTCCTTATGTCTCCTCTCTTCCTTCCCATAGTCACTGCAGGAGTGGCGTGAAAGCTGGTGACGACGCACACGTTGTTGACTGGAGTTGTTGCCGGTATGTTGTTGTAGACGTAGCCCTTTATTTCGATGTCCATGTAGTCGATCATGATGTAGCCGTGGTCGAGGTAGTCGTGGTCGATGATGTAGAAATTATAGGATTATAATATTGTCACTACAGGAGCACTTTCGTAACACACACTTGTGTTACAACAAGTCCAAAAAAGGGTTACTACGCCATATACTAACACGTTTTGAGATGTGTTACGCTAAGCCGTGCTACAAGATCTATCCATTGTCACACGTGATATTTGTTCCAATATGTCAAAAAATGTGTTACAGTTATGTGGTAGTAACATGAATCATATGTGTTACGAAAAGCATGACTAACACATTTTTGTAAATATAGAAACACAACTAGTAACATATTTTTATAGATATAGTAACACTGACGGTAACAAATTTTTCTAACTATCGTAACATTATTGGTAACATATTGTTTAGCTCTAACAACACACTTGGTAACATAATTTTTCATAAACTGTAACACAATAATAGATGGTGGTCAACCACCGTAGTAACACATTTGATTGTACAATAATAGCGGGCCTAATGTGACATGGTAGAGCACATAGCTATCATTTTGCATTCGCTAAATATAGGCAGATCATTGTTCGAATTTTTCCAAGTAAGAAAATGAGGAAGAGACACGTCTCAAATTAGGTTTTTCAATTCATAAGGATATTTCAAAGATCATATCGAGATACATAGACACATTGCGCATTAAAATAAGATTAATGTCTAAAGTCAAAACAACAGAAGCACATTATTGACAAAGAATCAGATTTGAATGCACATTTGCATAAACAAGGTTTCCATCTTAGTAATAGTATCAAACAAAGTACAACAGATACATCATCTTGCATATCAAATCTATTTCCTAGACATCAGTATCTTCCACAGTTTGAAAGGAATATTAGTTTCCTCTCCCTCGAAATTGTCCAGTCTGCATAATTTATTTCATTACAACTATTATCAACATCTGCCACCTCCTGAAAGTTTCCATCGAACCATGAGTCCTTCATGTCATTATAATAGGTCCTATCAGAGCAACACAAATACACAACTCAAACTTTGAAAACGCAATGAAAAGCAAAAATATCATAAACTAGAAGGATGAATCATGCTTTTCTTGGAATACCCACGACAATAACAAGTTCAATGTGGACAACAATGGAGAACAATACATACATAATTCACTAAAATAAAACCACCAAGCTTATGTTATTGATTAAGATGCACATAGTTAACACCTTTAATTAGGAGCACTAGTCATCAACCCATGCAGGAGCTAGTGATTGTTAAGTTGTTTACCCTTGAAATTCAAGATATTATATAGCCATGCCTATAAACTTTTTTTATAGAATGTTCTACACAATATTGACATATATCTAGTTGTTTTGAATACTATGCGAGTAGGTGAATGTTCTACACTCATTGAATAATATAATCCAATGGAAAACTAAGATAAAGTTATTGTTTTGAACTTGATTTTTTTCCTAACTTGAACTTAAAAATGAGCTTAGATATAGGGAAGTACAACATGAGCACATTACCTTGTTCATAGTGGAAGCATCTTTAGCTGCTCCTAATCCCTCGTAACAAAGTGAGAACAATTATTTACCTTCTTCATCTTGTCCAAGAACAGAGCAATATAAGTATAATTATTCAGGAAAGCACTTTTTTGTTGCCTCAATCAATGTAGTGACACAACAACAGTAGCGGAAGTGGTGGTATGACAGGTAGATGGGCATCTTGATTTTAGAAACTATTCCATACGTTGGTTCTATTTCGTCTCCAATGATACTCACCATTAGACTTACATTTGACAGACACAAGTAAGCAAACATGTTGGCAGGATAGAAACTAAGAATTTGAACTATATACAAAATGAATGGATTTGTGCAAACTGAACAAAACAAATGCAATATAGAGTAGGCGGGTTGACATACTTGCTACTTCCGCTTGCCGCTCATTCTGGTTAGACACAACAGCTTGGATAACTTTGTAATCCAATATGCTTTATCAAAACATTTAGACCTTCCTCTTTCAAAGACACATTGTCTCAGAAAGTTAGATGACTCTAAATTTCATATCCTTGATCTGGAGAAAATATATGTGAGTGGATCTGAATGTGGATGCATAACGGAAGTATGAAACCACAGAAAATGCGGTGATGCATACTTACACATAATACAATCATTATATTTCTAACTTCTAAAGATCATATATTAATACAGCCATGTCTGATGTCAACTTTCTAGAAATCCAATATATAGAGTACAATATGTGGCGAGACTTGGAGTACAAGACAAGACATAGTTTGCTTAAACAATCCTATCTCTATCTTCTTATCTCTACAGAATTATACTTCTCACACACCTATGTTGCCTGTTCCGCCTGACTGCCATGTAGGGCTTTGCTTTCCAACAGGAATTACACTAATTATGAGCAAAGCCTACACCAGCAACATAAAAACTAGCAAGCGGACCGTTTTTATAATTTTGTGCCTCTGCTGCATGGATTGCAAAAATGAACCAATGAAATAAGCTACTTAGAGATTCAGAGATGCACATTTGGCTACTCAAAAGAGTCGTAGGGAAACCGTCGATGGAAGTGCAAACTTGATCAAGAAAATAAATGTATTAAATTGTCTTGGTGAAACATATATATCAGAAATGGCACTCAAACATAAGTGCAACATTGCTGGCGAAAAACAAAATACACAAATCTGGTTGATAACAGCCTATATTCACTACTAGAATC